GCGAATTGCCTCACAGACATGATAAAAATATATAGAAAGCTTTAAATTACTACTTTAAAACGATTCAAATCGAAAATAGAAACTCTTTCATTATGTAATCCGTGCATTTCTCTCTAAAGGCACATCCCATGAGGAGACGAGTCATTTTTTTCATCACCATACTTGATGGATATCTAAAATATAAAAATAAGGAAAAGCCTAAAACAGGCCCGATTATAATTTGCGTTTTATTTTATAATTCCGTACAATTAAAAAAATAAAACACAAATTATAAAGGCATATATGTAAAACTTTGTCTTGTAATTGTAGCCTATAGCTGCTTATATTTTCTGATTTTTATGTTGCTCTGTTCGGAATACCTTCAAATTTAAAGGATTTGCTGCAACGCAATTGTGTATGATATGTGAATAATTTATTAGCCTATTTTTTTTTTATCCATGCAGCAAATGCTTTAAAACAGCTTTAAAATTACTTTATTACATTCCAGATGCTTTTTTCACTATACATTTTACGGGTAGCTTGAATGTAAAACATTGTCATGAATTCGTTGTATTCCCATTTGTAAAATAGCCAACAAATTAATTGTTGTAGGCTAACCCGATCTCATGAAAGTGAGTATAGCACGATTTTCTGCTTCTATTTGGCATAATAGGCCTATTTCTATGCAGAAATTGACTTTGGCATGCAAAAGACTGATAAATTCATAATTAATGGCATGGTTGGTTCAGTCGACAGAAATACGGGACACACAGGCCTATAATAACTGCTGAAATGTTTGCGGGGCAAATCTCAGGTCAGTCTGAGCGCTCATGGTACGCACAGTGCGTACAGCCGTACACCTGCAGGCGCCACTGTTCCCATCCCTACTGTATGCACAACCCACACAAAGCCAAAAGTGAAATGATCCAATATGCTCCATACGGCATACGGTAACAGACGCCTTTTTTTGTCAATGGAGGAGAGGCTATTCTTCAACATATTTGCAATCAAGTATTCATTTTGGATTGATGTATTTTTATAGTTCACAACGAAACAGTGCTGTATTATAAAAATAAATCAGAGACAATTTTACGTAACCTAGTTTCTTCCTCATGTTAATTGTGTTTCATTCAGTCCAGGTGTGTCTCGTCATCCCCTCATTAAGTTGATTACATAAGCTCTGTTCTGTTCTGTTTGCTTTGTCCGGTGTCTAATGTCTTCTGGTTACCTGTTTGTGCTATGTGGATTCTTCTGTTTGATCATTAAAGATGGAAATTTGAGTTTATTCCTACGTCTCCACTTTCCTCGCCGTAGCAGCAATGGTGACAGAACACCGAACCAAGAACAGCGCGTTTAATCTGCGTGTTTTCCCCCGATTTGTTTCTGTTTGTCCAACAGTGTTTTTGTTTCCGTTGTGCTCTCCCTTATGGATCCCCTTGCCCACCCTGAATACCTCCTCCTCCTACTGGAGCAGGTGGAGCGTTCGCTCGAGGACCATACCAGACTGTTTCTTCGTGCCGTCCTCCTCTCCGCCGTGGCCCATCTATCCACTGGCTCCGCCGGGCTCCCTCGTCCCTCCGGCTCCGCCTTGGTCTGTTGTCGACCATCCTGCACCTCGGGACTCCACTCCTCTGGCTGTACCTCGTCCCTCCATCCCTCCGGCTCCGTCAGGCTCCTCCATCCCTTCGGCTCCTCCTCAGTCCTCTGTCGCTCCGGCTCTACCGTGGCCATCTGGATCCCCGCCTCCGCCTCGGTCGCCGGCGCCATCTGCTCCACCTTGGACCTCCGGATCCTCCCCGTCGCCCTGGCTCATCGGCTCTCCTTCTCCGCCTCGGGCTCATCCGCCACCTGCTCCGCCGCTGTTGGTTGGCCCCCTGGAATCGTCGGCCCTTCCTCCTCCATGGCTCCTCCCTCCGTCGGCTCCACCGTGGGTCGCCGTCATGGTTGTGGCCTGGGTCCTGCTTGGCTCCTCCTGCTCCAAGCCCCTCCTGGCTCCTCCCTCCTTCTGGTCTGTTGTCGACCATCCTGCACCTCGGGACTCCACTCCTCTGGCTGTACCTCGTCCCTCCATCCCTCCGGCTCCGTCAGGCTCCTCCATCCCTTCGGCTCCTCCTCAGTCCTCTGTCGCTCCGGCTCTACCGCGGCCATCTGGATCCCCGCCTCCGCCTCGGTCGCCATCTGCTCCACCTTGGACCTCTGGATCCTCCCCGTCGCCCTGGCTCATCGGCTCTCCTTCTCCGCCTCGGGCTCATCCGCCACCTGCTCCGCCGCTGTTGGTTGGCCCCCTGGAATCGTCGGCCCTTCCTCCTCCATGGCTCCTCCCTCTGTCGGCTCCACCATGGGACGCCGTCATGGTTGTGGCCTGGGTCCTGCTTGGCTCCTCCTGCTCCAAGCCCCTCCTGGCTCCTCCCTCCTTCCCGGGTGCCCATACTCCTCCCAAGTTCCCACCCGTAGCCCCCCTTTGATGTTCTACGACGCGACTACTTCCAGGAGGGGGGCGATATGTCTGTGTGTGTTTTTGCTCCCCATGTGCTCTCCGTAACCTAGTTTCTCCCTCATGTTAATTGTGTTTCATTGAGTCCAGGTGTGTCTCGTTATGCCCTCGTTAAGTTGATTACATAAGCTCTGTTCTGTTCTGTTTGCTTTGTCCGGTGTCTAATGTCTTCTATTGTATATCTATTGTTTTGGTTTGCTATTCCAGCTGCTCCAACATGGTGGTTTCCAACCCTGACTGCTCCACTTTGGTACCCTGCTCCAGTCCTGTCCCCTTCCCCTGTTACTCCTCCTAGACCTGGCCCTCTATCCTTCCCCTGGTCTGCCTCTGCACCACCAACCTCCTGAACTGTTCTGTCACAAATTCTCTGTGTTTGTGTCCATGGACCTTTATTCTGATATTCTTTTGTCCTGTTTTGCCTGTGTTCAGTTCCAGTGTGTTTAGTTCCTGTTTCATTGGTTGCCATAGTTATGCATTGTTCAACTAATTTGAGTCTCACCTGTCTCTCTTTACCACTGTGTATTTATTCCCTCAGTTTCTTCATTTCTGTGCCCGGTATTTGTTGTGCGTAGCATGCTTTTTCACTTGTGTTTCAGCTTATTGGATTACCTGAGTTTGCTTTGTTTAATAAACTATGCTACTTATGTATAACTTCACCAATTTTCATCTCCATTGGACATTAAACGCGACAATATTACTATTAAGAAATATTTAATTTCTTCCATTAAAGTCAATTTTGGTAAAATCTGTTAGAGACAAAAGGTAAACAAAAAGAACTCTAAAAGCTGTAATTTCAGTGCATTTTGTCTATCTACAGAATATTCTTGAGGTTTCTCACATATTTATGTAACCATTGCAATGCCTCATGTTTCCTCCCAGACTCATGCTCTGCTCTCACAGACAGATGCGGTTACCAGGCAACCACTCTTGTAGCTGTATCAGTATGAGGCTGGAGTGGGGGGTTGCTGCTCAATGTGATGATGAGCTGCTCTCCCATTGGCCACAACTCCCTGACCAGTGACACGATTGGATGTGCGTAGCATGCTTTTTCACTTGTGTTTCAGCTTATTGGATTACCTGAGTTTGCTTTGTTTAATAAACTATGCTACTTATGTATAACTTCACCAATTTTCATCTCCATTGGACATTAAACGCGACAATATTACTATTAAGAAATATTTAATTTCTTCCATTAAAGTCAATTTTGGTAAAATCTGTTAGAGACAAAAGGTAAACAAAAAGAACTCTAAAAGCTGTAATTTCAGTGCATTTTGTCTATCTACAGAATATTCTTGAGGTTTCTCACATATTTATGTAACCATTGCAATGCCTCATGTTTCCTCCCAGACTCATGCTCTGCTCTCACAGACAGATGCGGTTACCAGGCAACCACTCTTGTAGCTGTATCAGTATGAGGCTGGAGTGGGGGGTTGCTGCTCAATGTGATGATGAGCTGCTCTCCCATTGGCCACAACTCCCTGACCAGTGACACGATTGGATGAGAGCACGTCACTCAGCATCTCCGTGTCTCCCTCTCTGTGATATGCTTTGGAGGAGGAGTCTATGCAGCAGAACAGACAGAATTTTACCCCTCCCTCATCCTTTTGGACAAACATCAGTATGCCTACGCACAAGTCTAGCTGTCATGTGTTTACCTCTGATATCAGGAAAACCCAACAGGAATGAATTGACCGGTAGAGTCCTCCGGGTCTAGATGCATCCAAACTGAGGCAAGACATTCTGTTTTTTTCCTGAGTGTTTTTTTTTTGTGGAGTTTATATTCTGTAGAGTGTCATCAGCCTCTTCATGTGGACTTACCGCTCATAAACCCCATGACGCTTTGCAGCAGACCTTCATGCTGATGGATGAAAAATGGATGGTTTGTTGCTCATCCATCAAACAAACACAAACCTTCACAGACACCTTTTGTACAAACCAACACAGCAATGGAACTGAATGAATATATCAGCATCTGAACACAACTGTTAGCACAGCGATGTGACAGAAGGTAAAAGAGTGTTTTTGTAAGTACGTCTTGTTTTTCATTTGAATTTTCCTTTTTGTTCATGCTGTCTGAATGTTTACATGCATAAGTGTGCTTTGTGGTCCTCTTTAATGGCCATTTAATTATGTGGCAGATCTTGGATATCCCCCCCCAGATAATCTGATGTTTATATTGATGTAGAACAAGATTAGATCCACTAATCTCAAATCTAGGCCCGCATTAACACATCAAAACCATTCTGTAGATCTGCATGATTGTGTTCATCTCAGCTGGCACTCATGTGACCTGCATGTTTGAATATCAGCGTCTGGAATCGTTCCAACAGAGGAGAGAGTCTCTCTGGCAGACATCAAAACACCGGTAGCATGTTGTAACCCTTCCACTCACATTTTAACGCTCATCATGAGACTCCGCCTCTTTGCAGGATTGGTAGAGCTGCAGCCCCGCCCTTGGTTCCGTCCCAGAATGCTGAGCCCGGTTCTCTGTTCAGATCTCGCAGCCTTGGAGCCAGAGTACACAGAGGGTAACACACACACACACACACAATCATACGCTACAAACTCTCACAGTAGCTACACTGTCAGTCAAAAGTTTGTACACACTTGACTGAATTTGTTTCTTGTAAGGCTTTGCTGAAATGCTTGAAATTAGTTTTGTAGACAATGATAAACTTCTTTATATGAAGCAGTCAACAAAGTGGGAACTACTTCAATACTGTTTACAACCATCCCATGATGCACCTCATGACGTTTTGTGAGATAGCAAGTGTGCAGCAGTTATTTTAATATCAGATACTATTATAGTTTTTAATAGTTTTAAATATTTTTTATATTTTCATTTTCATTTAATCTTATTTAAAATTTTAGTGATTTTGTTGTGTTTTTGTCATTTTTTGTTTATTTTCATTTATTTTTATTTCAGTTTTTTATGAGTAATTGTAGTACATAAAGTTATACTGAATGAAAATGAGAAATGCTTCCTTAGCAACTAGCTGAAATTAAATAATTATATATTTTATTATTTCCGTTAATGTTTATTTTATTTCAAGTAACAATTGTTTTTTTTGTTTTTTTTGGTATTAGTTTCAGTTAAATATAATAACCCTGGTTTACAGATATAAGAAAAAGATCTAGAAAAAGAAAGTAAAATGATCATTCTGATTCAACAATTTGATAAATACCTAATTTCCATATTTTCATTTGTGCTAATTCATAGTTTTGATGTCTTTCCCATAATTTTAAAATGTGAAAATTAGTCATAATAAAAATATGAAATGTCCAAACTTTTGACTAGTGATGGAACTAATAGTGACACTTTTTGTCCTTTGTATTTGTGTTCACAAACAAAGTGAACGTGCGCACCTTGTCATTAATGCTGTTTTTGGATCCATATTCAAATACAAATATTGCATTAGTTTACTTTGGCAAAGCAGTGTTTGACTGAGAGGCACATCTGATCTTAAACAATAACTAGAGGCCTATGCAAGTTTTTACCAAAACAAAAAGTGAAATCTATTTCTTTTTCAATCTTGTCTGATCCAGCGGATGTCATCTCTACGGTGGAGTTCAACCAGACTGGAGAGTTCTTGGCCACGGGAGATAAGGGTGGGAGGGTTGTCATCTTTCAGAGAGAACCACAGGTCAGACAAATCTCTGACAAACACATTTTTTATGCTTCCCTATTTCACAAACTTCCTATTGAAACAGGAAGCTAAATGGGTCGGTTTTCTTTCTTTCTTTTTCAGTCAGTAACTTTCAGTTTACATCACAGTAGCACCATTTTATTCTTGCTGTTGTGATTTGGAGGCAGGTGATGTTTATAATACAGTGGGAGGAGACATTCTCATTCTTGAGAATATTTTATTAGACAAAACTTTCTAAACACCCCTCTGTGCAAAATATTTTTTTCCCCCAGATGAATGATACAAGAGCCGAATGAATGTCTAGTTAAATGACTTGTAAAATCATTCTTACGTATGTTGTCACATTTGACAGTTTATGTAAGAATGGTTTTATGTCCATCTGTTTTCTTTTGTTTCTTCTTGTTGCCTGATGTGAGTTTCTGGACTGTCTAGGTCCCTGTCCTGCGGCCGATGGATCTCCTGGTGGAGGCGTCCCCACGGCGTGTTTTTGCTAACGCACATGCATATCACATCAACTCCATCAGTGTCAACAGTGACTGTGAAACATACCTGTCTGCCGACGATCTGAGAATTAACCTGTGGCATCTCAACATCACTGACCGCAGCTTCAGTATCCTCATGCGTCTTACTGTAAGATAGAACTACACAGAGACATATGGGGTTTTGTAATTATGTCATTTAAAGGTGCAGTAAGCGATTTCTGAGAATTGATATTTGAAATCACCAAAACAAACATGCCCCTACCCAAAAGAATCGAACCCCTATCTTGCTTTTTACGAATTTATGAACATTACGCACCTCCCACATCACTACTGGACACGCCCCTTACTGGTGATTGGCTACGAGTGTGTTTTGGTGCTCAGTCCGATCCACTTTCAACAGCGTTTCTCATAAATCGCTTACTGCACCTTTAAGCAAAACTAGATTTTGAAAATGTAATGCTAGAGTGATTTGGGTGGTTACCAGGGCATTGCTATACAGTTGCTAAGTGCTTTTAGTGGCTTTTAACATGTTGGGCACCAGACAACATCTTTTCAGAAGGAATACAGAAGAAAACATTTTGCTAAGATACTTTTTTGTTAATAATGAAGGCCAGTTTACACAGAGAGTGATAACTATAATGATAGCTATAACCATAGATGTTTATAGATTCCTCATTAGCATCTGTTTCTATAGGCCGCTATGTGTAAGCCGTCTACCATACTGAACCAGTCAAAGCCGTAAACAATTAAGAGCAAGTTGACTGCATGTGCAACCGTAGTTATATGCATGTATGATTTTCTGTATGTGTAGTAGACTTCAGTGGATGATTTTGCTACACTAACACAATACATGACAAAACTGTTAGCTAACACGACATAAAAAAGTTACCACAGTTTAAAAATGTGTAATATTGAGTTAATACATATAAAAACACAAACCAACACATTCTCACCTGTGAAAGGTTATCCCATTTCTTCTGAATTTAAATCCAGGTGGTTTTTACAACCAGAGGCTGCACAATGTTGAGGCCTGTCGGGAAACTCATAAATTTTTACTGTGAGTGACGACATGTTTACCGTTACAAGATGGCCGATGCATAATGTGTCTGGAGTGGTTGAATGTAGATTCTATGTATAGATATCTATGGCTATATTACAAACCAATGGATGATAACGTTCTGTTTATTTTAAGCACAAGCTACAGTTTTTCGTCTGTTGCTTTAAATGTGCGAGCTCTTTAAAGTCAAGTGGATTCTGATTAGCTTTTTCATCAGCTGGAAAAATCATTCTGATACTGGTTCTAACGATATTGTTGCTTTGTGTCGTAATCATAATACAGTAGTGTGGATCTCTATTCTCATAGAATTAGAATGGTTATTAAAACTTTATAGTGATTGTTATCGTTATAGTTATCATTCTTGGTGTGAACGGGCCTTGATTATAGAAGCCCATTTCTACCACTGAATTAAAAAGAAAAAATAAATTTATCACACAGTTCTGATTTTTTTTCTCGCAATTGCGAGATTATTTCACGCAATTCTCTTTTTTTTTTCAGAACTGCAAGATATAAAAACACAATTGCAAGATAAAGTCAGAACTGCGTGATATAAACTCGCAATTGCGAGTTATAAAGTCAGAATTGTGAGATAAAAAAGTTGCAATACCATTGTTGTTTTTTTCTGTGGCAGACACAGGATTCCATGCTTAACAGTAAAGGCCCGTAAAAGTCGAATAGATTCTGATTGTCTGTCAATGTTCAGAATCAGAATCAGAATGAGCTTTATTGCCAGGTATGTTTACACATACGAGGAATTTGTTTTCGTGACAGAAGCTTCCATATATATATATATATATATATATCTCAAAATAATTGTTGTTAATTGAAATTAATTTAATCTAAATATTACATAAAAAACTAACAGAAATAAAATAAGTTTAAGTGCTAAAATGACTAAAACTAAAATTAAAATAAATTAAAGCTAAATAGAAATAATTATAACAATAAAATTACTAAAATAAAAATGACAAAACTTGCTAAAAACTTAAAATAAAAGGAAAATATAAAAATAACAGCTTGTTAAAATAATAAATACTATAATAGTATATAAATTATACTAAAATACATCCATATGCTCATTATATAATGTAAAATTAAGTAGATTTACCATAGATTTTAGTAAATGTTCTACATTTATTTTATTATTGTCCTATTTAATTTTTATTTTTACTAGTGATTATATTTCTGATTTTTCTGTATTTTAGAGTAAAATCATCTTAATTAACTATAATTACCCAGGTCTTAAAGCGTTTGAAACCTGGTAATTGCTGTTTTATATATATTATTACATTTTTCTGGGCTCCCTGGAGGACTGTGCAATATAAATAATAATAAAAAAAAATATTCAGGCAATAGTGAGGGCAGCCACAGTATATTTCTTTGAAAAAATCTTTAAAAATACCTTTCATTCTCTATTGGAAAGCAGGAGAATGAGAGGTTTTACAGCTACAAGCAACATTCCTGTTATATGGTTATATATAAAGAAGCTTGCATGCATGTATCATGTACTAAACACGACTAACCTTAACTCTACACTCTAAAAAATGCTGGGTTAAATATAACCCAGCGCTGGGTTATATTTAACCCAGCATTTTTTAGTGTAATGTTTTTGTACAGAATTCTCTTGCTCTTTCTGTGTCATGTTCGCTTGTGTTTTAGGTCCACGACTACTTGCGAACCAAATTGTGCTCTTTGTATGAAAGCGATTGTATTTTTGACAAGTTTGAATGTGCCTGGAACGGAACGGACAGGTGAGGCCAATAACATGAATAAACATCACCTTTGACCTTTGAAATATAACCCGAGCGCATCCAGCTGCTCTGCATCTGTTCCCTCTCAATCCATCTCTTCTTCCTCTGTAGCGTGATCATGACAGGCGCTTACAACAACTACTTCCGAATGTTTGACCGGGCGAGTCTGCGTGACGTGACTCTGGAGGCCAGTCGGGAGGTGTGTAAGCGGCGGGCGGTCCTGCAGCCGCGGCGTGTGTGCGTGGGCAAGAAACGAAAAGAGACGGACGTCAGCGTGGACAGTCTGGACTTCAGGAAGAAAATCCTCCATACTGCCTGGCATCCCAAAGAAAACATCATCGCCATCGCAGCCAGCAACAACCTTTACATTTTTCAGGACAGACTGACGCCCAACGGACATCACAACACGCCGGAAATACAAAGTGCGCCTCCCAAGTAGAAGACGCAACCAAACCCGACGTCCTTCACTGAATACAAATTTTTAAAAAAAGGTTATTGTGACTTTTTATCTCACAATTCTGACTTTTTTTCACAGAATTGTGAGATATAAACTCGCAATTCTAACTTTTTTTCTTGCAATTCTGACTTTTTTCTCAGAATTCCCTGTTGAAAAAGCCAGCATATGCTGGTTAGGTATGTTTTGAAGCTGGGATGCTGGTTTGAGCTGGTTTAAGCTGGTCCTTTGCTGGTTTATGCTGGTCATGTGCTGGTCTTAAGCTGGTCGGACCAGTTTAAGACCAGCACATGACCAGCATAAACCAGCAAAGGACCATCTCAAACCAGCATCTCAGCTTCAAAACATACCTAACCAGCATATGCTGGTTTTTTTCAACAGGGTTGTGAGTTTATATCTCGCAATTCTGACTTTATAACACATTTGCGAGTTATAAAGTTAGAATTGCGTGATATAAACTTGCAATTGCGAGTAATAAAGTCAGAATTGCACGATATAAACCGGCAATTCTGACTTTTTTTCTCAGATTTGCATGATATAACCTCACAATTGCCAGAAATAAAGTCACAATTGCGAGATACAAACTCCCAACCGTGAGAAAAAAAGAATTGCGTGTTTGTATCATGCAATTCTTAGAAAAAAGCCAGAATTGTGAGATAAAATGTCGCAATTGCTTTTTAAAACTTTTATTCAGTGGCGGAAATGGGCTTCCATATTTTTCTGACCCAACTGGCAGGAATTTTGTTTAAGCTCACTTAATTTGATAACTGTTTTGCGAGTTGATATAACGCAATTCTGACTTTATTTCTCAGAATTGTGAGTTTATATCTCACAATTATGACTTTTTAACTCGCAATTATCACGCAATTATGAGAAAAAAAGGCAGAATTGCGAGATAAAAAGTCGCAATTACCTTTTTTATTTTTTATTCAGTGGCAGAAATGGACTTCCATACTCCTATGATGCTATACATGCTAAATTCAGTTCATTGCTTGCCCTTTATGATCACATTTCCAATCTGGTTTGTGTCGCCAGCATCAGAACAATCTCAAGAACTATTATGAACACATATAACCCCAAAAATTGAATACAAACTATAACTGTGGTCCTGAATGAGAACGTATCGCTCAGATTCAGTGCTATCGCATGGCATGCAGTATGAATACTTGGGTTAGATAATGTTCAGCTACCCTGACACGTTCAGATCGCACATGCATGTTTACAAAGCTGTTTGCTCATGAACAGGGCTTATTTAACAATGATGATTGTAAACGAATCAGAGCCTTTACGATGCTTTATAATGCTCTGCAGTGCTTGTTTAGAAGTAACGTCTGTTCGTTCTTCTCAGGCTCGAGTTTTCTTCAGTTTTCTTTGGTTTGACAAACTGCTCAGGGACTCTCTAAGGCCTCTTCTTATGTTCAGTGGCAAAATGCACCAAAAGGAAATCCAGAACAAGCAGAGGACAGGATGCGGGAATTATGGAGGTCTGCTGAGAGACATTGCTGGAAGGAAAACAGCATGTGCAGGGATCAGTTTCAATGCTGAGTCATCACCTCCCCCCACCTCAATGTGTAAAGAACATTCCCAATTCAACGCTTCTGACCACGTAATTAGAGGCGCTTGCTAGCTTGTGCACTGGTTTAATGATTTTATCCACTGTGTTAAAAAAAATAGCTCTGCCAAAAATGAAAAAGAATTTCCCACCCTCATCTTTTTGATTTTCTTCCTTATTGTGGAACAAAAAAGAGAAATTTAGCGGAATGTTCATGCTGCTCTTTTCCACACAATGAAAACGTACAGTAGCTCTTCAGTATATAACAGTTATGAGACAGGCAAGGAGTAGTGTAGTTTGCCGTTGATGACGTCAAACCTAATATGCACAAGTGTTAATGAAATTTAATGCTATAGTGGAAGGAGAAAATTTTTTGTGAACTCGGGGGGCCGTTTACACGACAACGTTTTCAGCCAAAAACAGGGAACTTTTTATGCGTTTTGCCTGTTCGTTTAGAATCATTTTGAAAACGTTGTCGTGTATACGTGAAACTTTTTAAAAACGCAAGGGAAAAACTTTTCCGTTTTTGACTACATCGTCGTCGTGTAAACGTGGCCTTAAATTTGCGATGAAATGGAAGTAGCAACAGATGTACATTTGAGTGAAATGGATTATTGAACAGTCGATCAAATTACAGGGCGGGACTTGGTTCTGTGCACTTGAATGGAGGCAGATCTGAAAGCGAGCTTGTAGGCGGTTGTAAATAAAGGGGCGGAGTTTATGCAGATGAAGTGACTGGAGAAGTTTGGCGTCAATCAAGAGAGAGAAGTCTGCATTTCACTGTAAGAGCTATTTTAAGAATTACAAGGGTCAATATAGGTCAATCATTCAAATCAAAATGTCATCCAAAATTTGAAGTTGCCATGAAAATTTGATATATTTTCTAAATATATGTTATTAATTTTATTGCTCCTCACACTACACTAAAAATTGGTAACCTAGAATTGCTACAATGTTTTCTAATTGATCTACCTGCAAAAAATTATTAAAATTTGCTGGTGTAGCCTAACCTTGCCAGGTTAATTTAGTCAGAATATATTATATATATATATATATATATTAATTTTAATAAAACCTTTTTGGAGAACCCCAAATGAATGTTCTTCAAAACTTCTCCCATTGAGCAACATGAGGGTGAGGAAATGACAGAACATTTGGGTAAAAGAATCCTTTAATACAAATTCTTCAGAGCGAGCTAGATCACAGCTTGGAGGTAAAACCCCATTCCCCTGTATGAACTATTTTCAGCATGATGCCAGGTTGGTACCTTTTGATCTGCATATTACAGAACTAACGTCCACAAGAGGGCGCTCACAGTGATTGTGTTTATATCCTGAAATGGGTTCAAATACAAAGGAAACCTGAACTGAACCTGCACTATTTCTGTTGTCCTGGCATGACATCAGTGCGAGAGAAACTCACAGAAATGCTACTGTGTCGTTTAAAAGTCGTTCGGACTTTTATTTCATTTAAAATAATTCATACAAATGCATACAGTCACAAACATTTCTTTTTGGATTCTGTTTAACGAAAAATATTAATATCTCATAGTATATATAGTATGTATATTGCTAGCCTACCACTTTACCAGGAAGGAATCTATGTAGGCGATGGAGAGCTGCAACTATCCCGGCATCCTCGAAAAACACGGTACAATCAAGTCACACACAAATAGGCAAGCATTACGCCAGCTTTGCACAAGACAAATTTGTTTAGTTTTTTTCTTTTTGCTCAAAAATTGAACATTTTCTGTTTTCTTTTTAACCTTTAACACATAAAGTAATACATGCTCCAAAAATAAAAACATACTGAGTGTAGTTCTTTAAAGTACTGTACTGAAATTTAGACTATAAAAGACAAATGGGTACAAAAAACAATGCACTATGTGGTTTAATTTAATAGGAAGGGAGGGAGGGGGGGAAATAAATTTTCCTGAGAGGGTGTGCAAATCCCGCCTCTTTTGGTGCTTTTAAAATCAAATGAGCGAAACGAATATGCTTTTTGTTATCGTATCTATAATCAGGTGGTAAGATGCCTCCCTTAATGCGGTTTCTATTTTTCTTTCTCGTCTACAAACTATTTATCATGTCCTAAAAACTGTACACAAACAGGTTACATTCATGTAATAGTTACTGTTGTTTTAACCATGAAACCCATTAGACAGACAAAATAACAGATAAAAGATCGCCCACTGCACTTGGACAGACTACAATCTAAAACAGCAGGGTTTTGCATCAGGGAGAAGTTTCAAATCCACAAGATTTTCTCTTTTTTTGTTGTTGTTTTTTTCCCACTAGTTACTTCAAAGAGCGCAGTCCACCACCTTCAGTCAAGAGTTGGCTACTTCAGAGTCGTGGTTGTTTTTAGTGGCTGGTTCTGAGCCCGGGAGCCTGTTTCCGCTCCTCTTCTTTGGGTTAAAGAAGGACCAGGAGAGTTCTATAGTGGTACGGAGAGCCTTTGAAGAGGGGGCTACAACTGTTCGTTGGGGTGCTGCTCTCTGTCGGGTTCGGGTTTGCCGGTTTGGCCGGGTGACGGGGCGTGCGGAGGGTGGGCTGCGGTGGGCAGGCTGTGGGTGATGGGCACGGTGCTTGGCATGATGCCCTCCACTGGAGGAGGCAGACCCCCTGAAGCAAGGCTCACGACGCTTGGGGGGTACCTGAGGAAGAGGAAGAATATTAAACAGCTTCAGCCACACCTGGAACACAGTCTCTATAGAGTGGGGGAACTATGACGACACTTTGTAGGCGGATCGGCTGTTAGCATGACACTGGTTCCTTCGACAAAAAGCCTATGGGATTTTTCCATAGGCTTTTGGATTATCTCAAAAAATAAGCTCTGTGTTCAACCATAGTTCATGAAACTTACACGTTTTGTCCATCAAGATAATCTTCCCAAAATAATATAACTTTGATGAATTTTGAAGCCTAAATAAAAGCGCCAGAACTTAAAAGCTAAACTTAGGCTATAAACGAACTACACACATCCACAGTCGCTCGCCTTCAACGTCACCACCACCATGCTTCCCGACAACTTTTTCAAACTTATTACAGTGAAAAGGATTTACTCTGTATATGAATTTTAATCCACGCTACATTAACCTTTTCATATAAACTGGAATAAATACAAAACTAGAGCCAAACTAAAACTAATAAATAGTATAGTGAATAAATGAATCATATGAAAGCACGCATTTCTATACATTTCGAAATAAGATGCAATAAAAGTCAATAGATCCTTGATTAATATGAATATTTTAATTAAAAACGTGTCTCCACGTACTATTCAATAAAATTCTAGTGCATTTCATCTAACAGCAGAGTGAGCAAGTTTTTGGATATGGTAAGATTAAACTTATTTTAGTGAATAAAGTACCACATTTCAGCTATCATTTTGTTAGGGTGGGTACACAAAATGTTATTTTATTCTTGCTTCTAGGAAATCCTCAAACTATATGCTTTATAGATTCATGTGGCCGTAAACATTTAAATTTAACGTGGCTTTAAGCAATATGCATCATTAAAGTTTCACTTTTCCCGTGACTAAGCCGGTAAATGTGGTGTTTACATGGAATAATCGTAATATGAGTTTACCTTATGGTCCGAACCCAGAGTCTCTGCATCAGCAGGAAAGCGATAAAACGAGCATCTTTCCATCCGAAGACTTGTCGCATTTCGGGGCAAAGCAAAAAAAAAAAAAACATTGTCGAACAACAATATAAAATGCGGGACACTATTAACTGGTTATTCTACAATTAACTGTATTACAAATTATACTACGATTGGAAAATACTGATTGATAAACTGTTCGGCGTGATGACGTTGAATGTCTCCGACGCCTGTAGTCCCATTTAGCAACTTGTTAGCAACCGTCTTTTTTAAGAAACGTGACAGTTTTAAAAAATCACGAGTGGGGTGTAACTGGTGTGTTTTATGTCGTAGAATAAAACGTGAAAGTATCTTGAGCCTGTGTGAACCACGGACCTTATTTTAGGGATTCAACCAAAATCCCATTAAAAAAACCCATTGACTCTGGGACGGTGGAACCGGAAGTGCTAAAATGCTAACTCGCTTCCGGGTTTTTGCCTACAAAGTGACAACCCAGTTCCACCACTCTATTGAACTAGAATCTTAGTTCAATTGCATAACGGTGGATTACAAAATGGATAGTTACAATCTGATTGGATGAGCCACGCTTAAATGTATCACACATATGATGATTTGCATCATATTGTACAATCTCGATTAAAAAAGTTTGGGGTCAGCATTTTTTTTTTTTTTTTTTTAAAGTAGTAGGACCTACAATAATGTACAGTATTTGAAAAATAATGTGTTTTTTGAACATTAAAGCATGTCAACATATTCTGTTACACCAAATACACAAAATAATGATCTTTAAAAAAGCATCATATGACCCCTTTAAGATATTAATACTTTTATTCAGCAAGGATGCATTAAATTGATCAAAAGTCACAGTAAAGACATGTATAACGCTACAAAAATTTCTATTTCATTCATATAAATGCTTCTGAAATTTCTATTCATTAAAGAATCCTGAAATTTAGCTTTGCCATCACAGGAATAAATTGTATTTTAAAATATATTAAAAAGACAACAGTTATTTAAAAGTGTAATGCTTCACAATTTAAAGTTTTTACGGTATTTTTGATCAAATAAATGCAGTCTTGGTGAGCATAAGAGACTTCTTTCAAAAACATTTATACAATTTTAAAAAAAAATCTTTATAAATATAAACACCCTACAGTTAAGCTAATGAACTATTAAGTAAATACATTACTTAACGTTACTATATTATTATTTTAAAAATTGTGTATTATTATTAATACATTTCTTATTGAAAATTTGTCTTTTATAATATTGCTGTTATATAAAAGTAATAAGCAGCTTGATGCCGTGTGTACTGAAACGAAAATGTCAATAGTGAATATATATATTTCAGTTATATAGTCAGTTGAATCAGTTCTTTTCAATGAATCAGTCAAAAAGATTCACATATCGGTATGACTGATTCATCAGTGAATCAGTCTGAATCAAAACTATTTCAAAAAATCTTATCCAGTAATCATAAACAATTGAAATGGTCACAGAAATTAACTTCAAATTTCAAAAGAAAAAAAGAGGAGAGAACCCTTTAAATGCCCTGTGTGTCAGTTTCAATAACTTTGTTATTAGATATCAATTTCTGTTTTCAGTTTCTTTATTATTATTCTGATTTGTTTTCTCATAAAATGTGTGCATATGAGCAATTCGGTGTCTCATCTTATTTGCAGTCATTAAATTATATTATATACAGTACATATCATAATTAATACTGGCTACTGTCGACTCTGCTCCCTAGATGTCATTATGGGCAATAAACCCATATCAGTCGATCACTAATTATTTTCCCCACACACGTGGCCAGTGGTCTAATGTAACGAAGTAATAATACTTTGTTACAGTACTTAAGTATTTTTTTGGCAGTATCTGTACTTTATTTGAGTTTTTACATTTCAGCCAACTTTTACTTTTACGCCACTACATTTTTTGCTACTCAAGCCGTGTATGAACATTTTTTATATATATTTATTTGCTTCTTTTCCATTTTGCATTTACTTGTACTTTTACTTTCAATACTTAAGTACGTTTAAGATTTAAAATATACTTTTCGTACTTAATTACAATAAATATCACATACTTTAAGACTTTTACTCAAGTACTATTCTAAACGGTGACTTCAACTTCTACCAAAGTCAATTTTCTGTTAAGATATCTGTACTTTTACTTGAGTATGGCTTTCAGGTACTTTATACACCACTGCACGTGGCATAGGCGTTTCAGAGGCGGTTACATGTGACATTATTGAAGAAAGATTCGAAGAATTTTGCTGTAACACCAGGAACATGTACTGAGAAATCCAAAGTACTGATAAGCATAGTAAAAGCAATCTTGCATGGCCATCTGTGGATTACTCTTTCACCAGAAGTCCTGGTAAAAATGTCTGTGCAAATACAACACAACAGCACCACCTGTATCCTACATTCAGTTACGATAAATGAATACTTCAGTAGTTTGCTGTACCTGTAGGCTCCATTGAGTTCTGGATGAACAACAGTAGGGTCCATGCCGGCCCAGTGCGTGGTCTGTGTGAGGAACTCTTTGTTGACGCAGTTCTTCAGGCTGTCTGGAATGCGACCTGGAGGAGGAAAACAGCTTCATTACAGGAAAACCCCGAGTCATTGATCACAGCACATCAAGCCTGCGGAGCTGCAATTAAAGAACAAGGTTTTCACTCAACTGATGAAAGAGGTCAGACACCCAGCGCTCTCAAATCATTTGACAAATGCCAGCTCTGAGGCAGTAAAGAGTGTTACTGACAGCGTCATGTGGTGACGTACCGGTAATAGCTCGACGGATCTCCCGCGCCGCCTCCTCACGCATCTCAATGGAGGCCTGCTCGCTGTACCACGCCGCGTGAGGGGTGCAGATCAGGTTGGGCGCGTCTTTAAGAGGACCTTGGCTGAAACTGAAGTCATATTCACTCAATGAGCGTGTCAGACTCTTATAGAGCTGTATGTGTGTGTCAGTGTAAGGACAGTGTATGGACAAGGTGACCAATGAATTTATGAACTGTTCCGTTCTTCGTGATTACTAGAGGAGGAAAAATCCTTTTCTAGACAGCAAGATTTAGAGCAGTGGTTCTCAAACTGGGGTATGCGAACAAAATTCTGAGTTTTGGCATTCATTGAATTCTACCCCAACTTAAAGTAACATTAAAACCGAACATGTATTTCTGACAATCAAAATGCCGCTTCTAATGTAAAAACAGGAAAATGGGAGTGTCGTAAACGGTCAAATACATGATATCCAATCAGCTTACCTCATCTTTTTTCGGTCAAAACTGACTGCATCCACACAAGCAGCGTGCACAGTAGCATGTGATAGGATGCCCGCTGAATATGCTGCATTAGCAAATCGTGCGACTGTTCAATGTATCTTTAAAGTAGATCTTCACTTAAAGGGGTAATCGGATGCTCATATTGCACAAGTTGATATGATTCTTTAGGGTCTTAATTAAAAGTCTATAACATACTTTGGTTAAAAGGTGATTTGCAAAGATTCATAAAAAACCCTTATACTCACTTCTGTAGATGAGGCTAGATCACGAATGATTCGAGCGAACATAGATGCATTTAGGCTAATCGGAGAACTACGTCATTCAGACAGGAATCTCAGAACAGCCTGGTTTGAGAAAGGGGATTTTAAAATAGGGATTTAAAAAAAAAACACTGGATGGATTTTTATAATTATAGGATGGATGTGTACACACACTTCCAACATACATTTATGTTCAAACAACTTGAAAAGTGAATTTTGCATCCGATGACCCCTTTAATAGCATGAAGAGCAAATATTGATACGGCCTGAAATCGATTTAAACTCTCTTCGACACAGACACACAATTTTTACAACAGTTCAACAAAAAAAGACTAAGTGAACATTTTACATTTTAAATAATCTGCTGCTTTGAACGATTTGGAGAGTCAGTGATTAATAACCCATTCATAACTACAGCATTTTTGTTACTGAATGAATGAATGAATGAATGACACGACGCCCGGCTCATTAAAGACAGCGACTTGCCGCCACCTACTGGTGGTTTTATTTTTAAATCTACAAGTATCACTTCGATTTGCCATCATTTATTGCTTTATTTATTATATTAATAATACACTTAATGGAATGTTAAGAATATGACATAAAACATGACACAATTAATAAGGATAGAACATATTTGCCTCTATAAAGGTAAAAAAAAATGCACCTGTAAATCAATTTAAGGGGGCAAATAATTTATTGTCCTTTAATAGAAAAGTTGTGACTGCGGTCTGGAAGAATGTTAAATGCCCCAGGGGGTACGCCGCTGAAAAAAGTTTGAGAACCACTGATTTAGACAATTAAATATTTTAGAGCAGAGAATTTTTCAAGATTTTAATACATTTCTATGACTTTTCTAGCCCTGGAAATTGCATTTACATACAGTATGAGGGCAAAAAATGACCCGTATGGGTTTTTTGTATTTATATCATTTGACAGTTTAGCAATCTCACATGAGCAAGAGTGCTTTTTTAATCAGAATATCTTGGCGATTGCTTATGTGATATTGATTTTATACAACAGTACAATAAACAAGTTAATATTGTTAGTTTTTCTGCTTTTGCGCAATTTCGTCAACTAAAATAGTTTCAAACAAAGCCACAGCAAAACTGCTGTGCATCTCTGAGCAACACACAGTAGTGTTTCGTTACTGAATGAATCCGCGATTTTGAACGAATCTAGTAAGCCGACCATAAAAAGTCACTTGCTTCATTTCTGAATGAATCGATTGACAGTTTTAGTTTCATATTTAGAGTATCATTCCATATTTTAATATTCTTTTTTTTCTATGTTGAATCAAAATATTTCTTTCTAAAGCTACTTTATTGTAATGTCTATTCCATTTAACACAATAATAACTTTTGGGGGCTCATTTCTAAGCCCAAATTGTTGTGCGATTAATTTGCGAATAATTAATCGGCACATCATGGTATTTTAAACACTTGACAGCTCTAATTGTTAACTGAATCTAAAAAGTTTTTTTTATGTTAATTCAAATAAATCTGAAATAAAATAAAATAAACATTTTATCTAAATATTGTTACTAAAATAAGCTGAAGCACAGGAAATAAATTCAAATGAAACTGATTAAAGCTAAATAGTAATATAATATTTATACAAAAACTAATAAAAATTACAAAAGCACATAAAAATTAAATAAAAAAAGAATAAAAGATTTTAATAAAAATTATATTTTAAACATTAATAAAATTATAACAACAAATTAAATGAAATGATAAAAACTGAAAGAAATATATATATACATGCTAAAATAATAAATATACTGTATATACATACTACAATACTAAAATAACACTGGCTTTCACAATTGGTATGAAAGCAATTTAACCTCATTTACAAAAGTGAACCACTATTTATGCTGTCATTTCTCTTTATGCTGCTTTTCTCCTTTGAAACTGCCTTCAGGAAACAGCTCGCATTCTTTGCATCCCTTCTAATGCATTTGTAGCAAACAGACTCATATTTTGTGGGGTTTGCAGCCAAATAACAACACGAAAAAGACTCGTAGAGGCAGGGTGTGGAACAGAAATGGAGTTTGGAGCAAGCAATCCATCCAAATGTCAAAACAACACAATTCTTCAACATCAAATGTTGTTGTCTCTCACCTGAAGGGCTCTGTCTCATGGACGTCCAGGGCTGCTCCCCGTATTCTGCCCTCTTTCAGAGCCTGGGCCAGAGCCTTCTCATCCACCAGACCGCCACGCGCCGTGTTCACGAGGAAGGCGCCCTGACGCATCTACGGTCAACACACGGTATTGATCAAACACGAATGTGGCACCAGCTCATGTATGCTCTTGTGCTTGTGATTGTAGGCTGTAGGCGACACCTGTTTGATGGTGAAGTCGTTGATGAGATGGTGGTTGTGCTCGTTGAGGCTGCAGTGTAAGGTGACGCAGTCGCTGTGGAAGAGCAGGTCCTGCAGGGTGTTGACTCTCTGCAGCCCCAGGGCTCGCTCCAACCCGTCAGACAGGTACGGGTCGTAGAAGATCACATTGAAGCCAAATGCTTTGGCCCTCAGCGCCACCGCCTGTCCAACACGCCCTGAGAGCAGACATAAACCATCAATAAAATAAATTATTTGTTTGTATCACATTAGTTCAGTATTATGCCTGTCGGTGTCATGGCAAATTGACATTACAACAAAACAAGTTTCATTCAAATGGTGTGTAGTTGAGTTACTTTTCCTACAGTCTGCCAAAAAAAAAAAAGAACAGAAGAGATGAGAAAGATAAAACGTATCTGTATTGAATTTCAGCAAAAAGCCAAATGTGTTCAGGATTTCATTGAGCTTATTTTATGTATTATTTCTACTGTTTAAAAGTTTGGGGTAAGATATTATGTTTTGAAAGAACAATCTTATGCTCACCAAGACTGCATTTATTTCATTTTTAAAATATACAGTAAAAACAGTAATATTGTAAACTATTATTACTATTAAAAAAATGTTTTCTGTTTGAATATATTTTAAAATGTAATTTATTCCTGTGATTCAGAGCTGAATTTCAGCATCATTAATCCAGTTTTTAGTGTCACATGATCCTTCAGAAATATTATCAGTGTTGAAATTACGATTATCAGTTGTGCTATTTAATATTTTATGGAACCTGTGATATATATACATATATATATATATATAATTGTTTGACATTCATTAATGAATATATCTATATGAATTATTATACTTTTAATTAATTGAAGTATTTGTTTTTTTAAGTCATACTAATCCTAAACTATATATATATATA